TGACAGAAGAAAATAATGAAAAACAAACTAAAGACAAATTTGAATATCTTTGTTAAATTAATTTTGAATAATAATTCAATTTGAAATATTTACAATTATAGTAATTTAGTGAACAAGAAATAGTATCATTTACAATAAGTATTTTCTAAGTTTCAAGGAAAGATATACAAAAATGACTTATTTATCATAAATTGTTGTACTGTCGGATCAATTGTTCTTTGTGGCCTCGTCTTGGGGAGATTTAAGGCTACCAAACCACCTCATTTCATTTTAGGGCCGTGTCCTATCAGTCTACCATTACAAACACATGAATATCCTACTAGAATAAACCAAATGGTTGGTGAAGATGATATAGATACAGACGATATTGAACGGTAACTTTTCTTCATCAATATCAGTAGTGACGTATTATTGAGAGCATCACGCCGACGAGGCATATAGTGCAGGTGATGCTCCTATACGTCACTAACTGTGCACTAATTATATTATTTTCAGGGTATATTTATAGATAGCTATCGAAATAATGCAGCATGACATAACACCCTTAACAACAACATTTCTTTCAGCTACAAACTCATTACTTTGTCGATTTGTTACTTGATCGCGATACCGATAATAAAGGTCGTTGTGTACCAGTTTTTGCGAGGGAAAACAGTTAACACATCACGAACATAGCTGTTTCTAGTCTTTTACAAGAAAAAAAGAACGCGTAAGTGACAACATTGAGCTGTTTTGAATTACCATTGGTGGTTGCTGAAGCTTGGTAGCAATATGCTTGAAGACCATTCAACACGAATCACCACAAATAGAAATTTGGTTAGGGTAAAACTTGCTCGCTAGCGAAAACTGCTTAAGTTCGATATTGGGAGTCATGAAGCTATTTAAATATTTTGGATATTTGCATTTCAAATTGATGTTGTAAGAGAATGTTAATACTTGATATCGTGAAGAAAGAGATTGAACACAGTCAATACAAACACCATTGTACACGTATTTTGTGATCACAGAGGACCTGGGAAGCACCAAATACATTCCAGTAGCATGAAAATTCCATTTTTGCGGTCACCTAATAATCCCTTTAGTAACCTGATCATTATCATTTTCACAAAATATATATTGTGGTAGTGTTACTAATCTAAGCACGGCGGTAGGTTGTTGTCACGTAGTGTTTGTTGTAAATCTGTTGTCAATTATTATTATCCATCATCAACTGCATGTTCTCAACACAGTAATTTTCAAAATACATTTCAAATTGTAACATGCTTATTTTCTTTGTCAATATATTTAGCTTGAACATATTTGTGTTTGTTTAAACATGTTTCGTTTAATCATTAGAGTAGGTTATATTTTCTAATTTTCAGAATGTTCAAGCAACCATTGGATGCCATACCAGAAGATAAAGTAACAACTACATTAAATCATCAGCAACTTCCTCAGACTCAACAACATCGTCACAATCAAAAGCAGCATCAAGAACATCAGCATCAGCCATTGTATCAACTTGATGAAGAAGACGAGGATGCGGTAGACGCAGAAGATGATTCCAATCATCAGATAGTAGAAAATGTCTCTGAACACTATCAGGTAAACACCCTAGAGACGCAATATGGCTTAAAAGAGGCACAGACATCATTTTCAATGTTTGGAAGACGACCTTACAGGCGAAATCGACCATTATCTGCCTCCTCATCATCTGCAGAAGACTACAGCTCTGATGAGTCTGGTATTTCTACAGAATCGGGAATATCTTCACACTCAGATAACGATGATAAAACTGGATACAGTCCGTCAAGTTCAGATGAATCGGCAATATTCAAACGATATTCAGATTCCTGTGATTCAGCAATTAAAGATTCTTATTGTTTATCATCAGATGAAGACGACGATAAGTTTATCAAACGAAAACGAGGAGAACCTACTAAAGAAAGCAGCGATCTTGGAAGCAAACAAGATTCGCAAACTAGCTTACCTACAACTGGTTCTCTTTGCAATTCAGATTTGGATAGTTTACCCACTCATATAAACCTGACTACAAAAGCTTTAAGTAAACCGAATAAAACAGGTAAGAGACCTCTGAGAAGTTTACCTAGAAAACGACCAGGGACAATATCATCCAGTGATGAAGAAGGATTCGGAACAATATCCTCAAGTTTTACATGTCTCAATAGAAATATAGTAAATCTTAAAGATGATGTCAATGAAAGACAAGAAACACCAAATAAAACATCATTATCAACACCAAGACATGAAAGTCAACACAGTTGTACAGTACCAGAGTCTCTAGCATCAGTTTTACAAAAAAGTATGGCAAGAGGATCTGATCTCAAGTCAACACTAAGGAACAACTCGACAATGGATAATACATGCAAAACGGTCTTTAACTCAGCCTCCCTATCCAGAGAACGAAGAAAATCTTTATGTAGATCTGATAAAACAACGACAAGAAAATGTTCATCATTCAGGACAGACATATCAGACCGACATATTGCTCTTCCTTTACCCCGGACACAAGAAGATGTGGAAATGGTGAACGACTCTGGTACTTACAGTAGCAGTGACGAAAAGCATGTTGTCACGGAACCATATCTGACTCAAGACAGCAATCGTAACATGGATCAAAAATCGACGGCTAGATTGACTTACACTTCAGATTCTGATTGCAAAAAATCGTCCCAAAGTCAAAAGTCTGACGACGACAGTCATCCACATCAGAAAACGGCATCCAAGATTAAGGCATTGCAAAATGTTCTTATGAAACAATCTCTGCCGTTTGCGAACCCTCTCCTGATGAAAACCATGAGAGATACATGTGATGACCAACCTATATTGAAAGAAACTAGTATTGTTCAAGATGAAAAACCAACGGTTGTGGTAGAGAATCCTATACCAGTCACTATTCCTTCAGGAATACCACCTCCACCACCACCTCCTCTGCCTGCGTCTTCAGTAAAATCAACAGCAACAACATCGACAACAACACAATTGTCCACTTTACCACGAAAGACGAAATCTTCAACACCACCGCCACGACCTGCAAATCCTCCACCAGCCACGTCAACATTAACAAGGTCATCATCAACATTGACAAGGGAATCATCGACATCAGCAAAAATAACGACAACAGCATCAAAACCACCAAAATCATCAACACCTCCACCGCGACCACCATTACCAGCAATTTTATCTACTACATTACCAAAGGCTAAAAAATCCAGTGCAAAATGTGTTAGTTATGCGACAACAACTAAAGTGGACACGGGAAAGGATGACTGTCATTTAGACGATGCTACTAAAACTAGAATAGCTTGTATAAAATCAATGTTAGAAAGAGCTAGTACAATTGACGATTCTGTTGGTGACACGGCACTTGGTCAATCAGACAGTTCTCGTGCCACCTGAACTCTTCCAGAACTCTAGCACTAACATTATTCTATAATGTTATCAGAGAAAGAAATCTCGAGATCACTAGGGCCGGCAGGGTCAGGTTGGTGTTAATTTTGGCATAATAACAAAATAGTTAATACTATGAGCGAAATCTTCACCCTGGAAGTTAGCTAAAGAACGATTTGATCTCTTCCCGTCATCTCACACTTCTTCAAGCTTTCGTCAGAAAATTGAATGCTGGTAAACTATTTCAACATTAACCGTCCCAGACCGCCCTAATTATCTCGATCTATTGGACAGTTAGATATCTGAAAGTGGGTTTTAGTATTGGGTTGCCTGCTGTGGGTGAACATAATATGTTATCATGATACAATATCCATTCTGTGGGTTGGAATGTTACAACTTATGCTTTATCTTACATATAACTGTATTGGGCTATTAATTGGATCTCTTATTTCAACTTGTAGGTAACCTTAGCTTTATATGTTTATAGATAGATGGTCTATGTAAGTTATACTTGGATCTAGTTTTATTGCAGACATATTTTGAAAGCTTACTAAAACAAAGTTTTGGTTTCTGATTTCTATTAATACCATATTTCAGATTATTTCACAAACAAATACAAAGTAAATCGAAGAAGTTTTATATCTGTTTTTTACCTTGAGTTATGAATTTTGCAGCATTCGGAGATTGCTTTGGGATTTTTTTCTATTGAACTAACATGTTAAATTTTTCTACTAGTTCATTTAAAGGGTGCTTTGGGGCTAAAAGCAGTTTTGATTTGAATTTCATTCAATTCTAATTTAGTTTGCAGTTAAGAATTTAAACAAGAATTTCAATGAATTCAGTGAAAAATGTAACAGTTTCTTTAACTTGATTCTCATTGTATATAATTTTGATAACATTTTCTATATTTATTATACAGCTTTTAGCTAATATTTAACGTTTTGTGTATATTATCTAGCAATTTAGATGTCTTGTAACGTTATTATTTAGATGCCGTAACTAATTACCCCTTTCTTATCCGGCATTCTTTTTGTTTGTTGAACCTCTCGTATGGTGAGCTTAATTTGTAATTTACTGTATGTTCTATCATATAAAATGATAATAAATCTATTTGTGTTTGTTTATCTAGAAAGGGAAGCTGTGATAATATAAACCCTATGCATTTGGAATGGGTAATATATCTGTCCATTTCTCTGTTGGAGCCAATATCAACTTTAGTAATTTGTTTGTTTTGTTTCCTAGCATGATTTTGAGCAAAAGGTGGGCGCTTCTTTCTTTCTTTCCCTGATTGTTCTGCTAAAAGCTTCAAGTTTGGTTTTCACTTCTAATAAATTGTTTCTTCTTTTTTAAAAGTTCACAAGGCGGTAAGTAACTTGGAAATACCTTAATAACTGGGCATTTCCAGATCAGACATACATACAAGTCCAATGGAGTGTTGCGTTAAAGGGATGTCCTAGCTTTTCCAGTCTTGGTCTCTTAGTGATCATCACTATCGGTACAATAGTATATCTTAATTAACATTTCCTTTCAATTTTCAGAACTGATCGTGGAGAGGGTTTGGGAAGGGGGTTTATTTTCAGAAGGTTCTGGTTAAAAAGAAGTGCGGCTTGTTACGAAAGGAAGCTGATGATGAAGATGGTGATATGCTTGGAAATGACGGTGCATGCCTTTGAAAATTGAGAATAACTACCACTTGGCCTGTTTAATAGCCTATTACAGGTCAGTTCCTTTTGACAAGTCTTCTTCATCTGAAAATATCATCAACAAAAGACTCATTGCTCTCATTGTTCTGCATATAGGATCTAAATTAAGATATTTTTGCGTCACGTTTCGGACCAGTCAGATAGTGTCTGTAGTCATAGTTTTTATCTGTTGCACATACATCTACACTAGGAAACTGCATTCAAAGACAATATCTAAATCACAGACTGGAAGCATGTGTTATTGAAGAGAACTTTTAATTATTAATTATTCTTGATTTATTTCAGAAAATATAATATCAACAAAAATAAAAAAAAAGATATAAAAAAAATTATGCAACAAAATGTATAGACCTACTACAATACCGGAAATACTATGGCATCAACAGACTGCGTCCATCAGACAGTAATAATAACAATGGTACCAACAATAATGGCAGAATGCTGAGAATCTATAACAATGGTATATGACAACGCAAAGTTATGAATATCATAGACATGAATAGTAAAATACTTTATGTTATAGAGCTACCTTCCAAAACTAAATTGATCAGACGACATACATACACAAGATATACCATTTATTTGTGTGCATTGTGCGCAGTTTTTTTACTCAAGAAAGGGTTCGCCTAAAAAGAGTTGCGCATTTTTTACCACAAAAAACCTATTGAATGCACAGTGAATTCTAACGATTCGGCTTTATGTAATTGTTCACATAGCGTCGAAGGTACCAAATTTAAAGACGATATGCCTACTCAGCATTACAGAACTATATATACTATATACGTATTAGAAATGGATATTCAACTATCTTTTATTTCTATCAAAAAAAACTAATAAAATGAGATTTATGTGTTTTATATACACATTTATTATTATAATTTATGATAATTTATATTGTACTGGTACCAAAAAGCTTTACTGCTATATAATAATGACTCAAGTATTTACACAAATGTTATAACAATTTTTACAGTCATACATATCATCTTTTTTATAATAATTTATAGAAATCTTTTTTCTTATATTTTTATGTTTCATTTTACTTTTTAAACATTTTGATTTTTTGTGCATAATAAATGTAATAATGATGTGGAATTAAATATTTTTAAATGATTTCGGTGGCTGATGTACCATATGTACTTGTTGAAATACTTTGAAGGTTGACGATTAATTGTTACTGTTTTTATCTTGTCTACTTTCCTCAACACAGCATTGAATACTTCAAATACTAAAACAAAAAACATTTGTATAGAAAAAAGGTAGGGAAAGGGAGGAGGGGTCCTGGAGGTTTGTACTACCAGATATTTCTGTTTGTATGTACAAAGAAAGGCTTATTAGAAGTCATTCAACATATTACATGTTTTACTGTCGGCCATATAGAGCAGCCATGCATTACTTGGTTTCCTTAAACACGTTTTAGAGATAATACTTCTCAGCGATTATTCTCTCACACAAATACAATGTATATAGATATTTCTTTATACTTTATCATTTACCTCACTTCTGGTGAACTCTGCTATATCAGCTTTAGAATTTTGTCTTGTTTTACTTTTATGATCTTGAAAAATACCTTTAAAAAATAAAAATGGTAAGGTTCAGAATATATTAGCAAGGGGCATAGAAAAGTTTACAAAAGAGCATAGTAAAATAGTTGAATTTACTTATTCTATCAAATATGATATGAAGGAAATGATAATGAAACTTACTGAACATAAATACTAGTTTACAGATGACAATAATAAAGGTATCTAGTGATAATGTTCCAGTTCGTCCTCCATATCGTCGTAATATTGAGGTAACCAAAGATTTTTCGATGGGAAATCCTGTAAATAATCATGAAAAATAGAACTTTTCCACAACATTTGACAAAAGAGTAATGTATAATGTATAATTATTATGATGTCCCCAAACTTGCCCCAAATGATATTCAGATAATGTTTAGACATATAATACAAATATATTTCACCACGTTTTTAATTTATTCTACCCAACATACCTATTTTACTAAACATAGTTTGTAATTCATAACCATCAACAACATTAGATTTATCTTTATCAAACTGTCGAAAAACATTCTGAAAATAGATTTAAAAGATTGCAAAACAAATTGGATTATAACGTCACCAATCTTGCTATCTATTTTTTTCGGTTTTAATGACGTCAAAATCCAAATTTTCCACCATTATAAAATATACCCAAAAGCTGGAAAAGGAAAAGTTAAACATATAACTTACCCTATAAGCAGTGATCTCTTTCCACATTTTTCGTATTTCATCTAAATCAAGATACCCTGAGCCTTTTCTCTAATTATAATAGTCAAGGAGAAAATAGAGTCAATATATAATGTATAAATTTATTCAACTATATTACGTCATTGTTATTATTATTCCTTGTTATTATTTGTTATTTAGATTCTAAAGGATACATCCAAACAGGTAACTAAACTTCTGCAAGCCTCTTCAGTGAGATTTAACTGTTCACCTAATTCTGAAGATAAATTCATATCATATTAGCAATATAGATATATACGTGTAGTATAAAACAAAAGGAATATAGATGTCTAAACACTCCCTTTTCCAGTGGATAAACATCAATTTCAGCTGTCCCTATCACAAAGAATGAAAAGACGACGACCGGTTCTGTAATTTAAAAAAAGTGATACAATATCAAGATCATAACTCAATACTACTTTCATCAAAAATGCAAATTTTAAAGCATACTTAGTTCTTATTACAACATGTGCTCTTCAGAAATACAATAAATCAACAATAAATACACCGGCGATTCAGTCAAGGGACTAAATATAAAGAGTGCTATCACTTCCACTGTTTCTAAAACTAGTTTCTAGGGTATCATTAATTCATCACCGTACACAAAACTGCACATCGTCGCTCGACGATTCGCACCTTTATGTGGCAATACTGATCGGCAGGAAAATTAGAAATAAACTAACCTTTATAACTAACATTTAATATTAACGTTCGGAGTTCTCTATAATCTAATCTTTTATCATTTCCTCCAAATTCCAAAAATGCTTCTGTTATTCCATCAAATTTTGGTGTAATTGGCTAAAAAGCAAAATGTAACCTAAGAAGGCCTCATACATGCTACTAAATATAGTTTTATATAATATATCAAAGAACTGCACCACAAAAAACTTTCTATAAATAAAGATAGTAAGCCAGGCAAAGTAACATACGGCCACTGTGCAGCTGTGATCATAATGACAAGAGTAAAATACGATTATTCTCATATTTAAAAATTCCATCTTCAAAATGCATTTGCGGTTAAAAATATTAAATTTAACAATATCTCATCAATTTACTATCCATTATTTATGATGAGTTTAAAAAGAAATCTATTTAACTAAATTATTAAAATCACAATTTGAAATTTGTAAATATATCTTGTAAGTCAAAGCAATACCTCAAAAACAGTTTAACAAATTATCATCAAATTCAAACATGAACAAAGTCTCATTCATTTCAAATTTCTTCAAACTAGATAAACACTGTAGTCTCTGTGATTGTTATAGATCAAATTTGCAATCCAAGTTTCATCAAGTACAGTTATATATAAACTGTATCCTCTATCAAAAATTCGAACTTGACCGAGATCTCATCAATATATAAAACACAAGATTTAGGGATAGGTTGCTTCTAAATTTATAACATAGCCTACTACGTTTCGAAACACAAAGCCTACAGGTAACTTTAACGAGTAAAATAATGAAAAAACAAAACAAATATATAGGTAAATCTATAGAAGCCATTAAGGTTTATCAAACCACATAGTATGTCTTCATCTTCACTGAACTTAATCATTTGACTTTGATTTTGGTTGAAGTCTGTTGTATCGATTGGAATCAGAATTATACTTCAATTAAATTCACATAGGCCCTTCTGTTGCATAATTTTAACCAATCAAGTTACCAAGTTAAAAACAAGACATTATTTTGTTAGATTATTGTCAAGTTGAACACAAGAAATTATTTTATCAAATAGTTACCAAGTTAAAAACCAAACATTATTTTATTAAATAGTTACCAAGTTAAAAACAAGACATTATCTTATTAGAGATAGTTAACAAGTTAAAAACAAGACATTATTTTATTAGATAGTTACCAAGTTAAAAACAAGATATTATTTTATTAGATTATTATCAAGTTAAAAACCAAACATTATTTTATCAAATAGTTACCAAGTTAAAAACCAAACATTATTTTATCAAATAGTTACCAAGTTAAAAACCAAACATTATTTTATTAAATAGTTACCAAGTTAAAAACAAGACATTATTTTATTAGATTATTATCAAGTTGAACACAAGAAATTATTTTATCAAATAGTTACCAAGTTAAAAACCAAACATTATTTTATCAAATAGTTACCAAGTTGAAAACCAAACATTATTTTATTAAATAGTTACCAAGTTGAAAACCAAACATTATTTTATTAAATAGTTACCAAGTTAAAAACCAAACATTATTTTATCAAATAGTTACCAAGTTGAAAACCAAACATTATTTTATTAAATAGTTACCAAGTTGAAAACCAAACATTATTTTATTAAATAGTTACCAAGTTAAAAACAAGACATTATCTTATTAGAGATAGTTACCAAGTTAAAAACAAGACATTATTTTATTAGATAGTTACCAAGTTAAAAACAAGACATTATTTTATTAGACTGTTACCAAGTTAAAAACCAAACATTATTTTATTAAATAGTTACCAAATTAAAAACAAGACATTATCTTATTAGAGATAGTTACCAAGTTAAAAACAAGACATTATTTTATTAAATAGTTACCAAGTTAAAAACAAGACATTATTTTATCAAATAGTTACCAAGTTGAAAACCAAACATTATTTTATTAAATAGTTACCAAGTTAAAAACAAAACATTATTTCATTAAATAGTTACCAAGTTGAAAACAAAACATTATTTTATTAGATAGTTACCAAGTTAAAAACAAGACATTATTTTATTAGATAGTTACCAAGTTAAAAACAAGACATTATTTTATTAGATTATTACCAAGTTGAAAACCAAACATTATTTTATCAAATAGTTACCAAGTTGAAAACCAAACATTATTTTATTAAATAGTTACCAAGTTAAAAACAAGACATTATTTTATTAGATAGTTACCAAGTTAAAAAACAAGACATTATTTTATTAGATAGTTACCAAGTTAAAAACAAGACATTTTATTAGATATTTCCCAATTTAAAAAAGAGACATTTTATTAGATATTTCCCAATTTAAAAACAAGACACTATCTTATTAGAGATAGTTACCAAGTTAAAAACAAGACACTATTTTATTAAACAGGCCTAGTTACCAAGTTAAAAACAAGACATTATTTTATTAGACTGTTACCAAGTTAAAATCAAGACATTATTTTATTAGACTGTTACCAAGTTAAAAACAAGACATTATTTTATTAGATAGTTATCAAGTTAAAAACAAGACACTATTTTACTAGACTGTTACCAAGTTAAAAACAAGACATTAGTTTATTAGATAGTTACCAAGTTAAAAGCAAGACAAATGAATAAATAAATAACCTAGGTTACCATATTATGACGTCATAATTGAAAAGACATGCTTAGATTCTTTCCCAGTCTAAAGGTTTGTGTGAGAAGCATCTCCGAGAAATTTATCAATTTTCACCACAAAATTCATAGAAAACTTTCAAGTGACGTAAGTTTTGATTGAAGCTTTTTGTCAATAACTTGTAAAAAATAATCATTCCATTTAGCATATGTTTAATCAATGGTTGAAGTAGGTAGGCCTATCCGAATCACGCTTTAAGGAATGCTCGGAACGTAGCCTAGGTAGGCTATATGAGTAATTTGCTAACTTCAGACTAAAGTCAATATTATTTTTTCAACTGTCAAAAAGGTTTGCAGACGCTCAATAATCATTTTAACCACTATTCGTGTCCATATTTTGTAAGCTAGGATGGTAATTTCGTCATGTCGTGTCATTCATACCAAGGCGTTCACAAGTTGTTATTTATAGCCTAGGGCCTAATTGTATTGTTCTTAAGATAAAAACAAACTGAGCACTATAAGACGTTACTCTAGTTTTAGGAATGGAAGGTATTCAGGCCAGAATAAAAGATAAGTCCGGAGCAAATGGTGATCTTCCATTGCAAGAAAGACGACCAGGAAGAGTTCCTCAGGACAAAAAGAAAGTCAGCACTGCAGGTGTTGAAATGCATCTTGATGTTAAAACAAAATCAAAAGATGAAGCTGTGGTTGACAAACCAAAGAAGAAAAAAATAAGCTCACAATATGATTACTTTGATGAAAAAGATAACTGGTCACCAAATTCAAGATTTTTTAAATTTGTAGACACGTCTTTTAAAACAGGTAAGCTATGGTGTAACAGAGTTTTAATTGCTTCAGTCTGTGTGAGAAATATGGAAATAATGCAAAAGATCTGTTAAGATAAAAGGAAGCTAGAACATGAACCATATCATATTCTTTAATTTCAGAACTAAGGAGGTTAACACGGAAGTACTGTCATTACGACTGCAAGGACATAGACGAGTCCTTATTTTTTCGATTTTTCTGATTTTCAATAGGGTTCATCCTTGCTTGATAATAAACATTTACACCAAGTTCCGTCAAAATTGTAAGAAAACTAAGAATTGTACTTTCTATACATTGTTTATAAGGAATTGTGGTCGGTCGGACAGACGGGGGGACATGGGGGACACCAATATAAAAATGTTCTTACTGTAATAGGTGTAATTGGTTTTGGATCTTCAACATCTAAGACTCTGTAATAAATTTATGATTCTTTTTATTTTATTGTAATCATAATATGACAAAAATCGGAATTAAATTTTGTTAAAATATTGCGGAAAAACTTATTCATGATGTCGCTTCCATTATTTCATCGGGTTAAAGAAGCTTTAAGTCGGCTTGTGGATTATATCGAGTAAATGCACTTCAAGGTATTTGAGATAATTATCTTTTATTCCATCATCAGTTTTGTCAAGTGTCGGCCTTGACATTCAAGGACTTTCCTCTAATCAGGCCATGAACCCTATGTAACAAGGGTTCGTGATTAGACTACAGGTTTGAGACATCAGTTAGCAAGAAGCTCCGCCACTGCTACCAACCAACTATAACCATAGACTATACATGAGAAACACAGTAAGAGATAATCACATTACCCGCTCTCTGCAGCCTTCTCTGTGAAAATACGTAACAGAAATTCGGCATCTTCGTTGATGTGAAATGTACTAGGTATAATCACATAAACACCGGGCGGAAATTCAAATCGCCTTGTAACTTCTCTATAAAATTGATATTTCCCTGATCTTTCTGCTAATCTTAAAGCATTTCGTGATGCTTTTTCTCCATCTAAAGGTTTTAACTCGGGTCTGCGTAACTATAAATATGTAAAGATATATAAAGATCGGATTCATGACTCTTCTAAATGGTATACATAAATATGTGAATAATATAAATAACGGGAATCAGTTATTCACCTATGATATATATAAAGGTCACATAAATCATTAACGGATGGACATAGCAATAAACTATGGTGGCATAATATATATATGAATTGTTGTTTATAACACAGAAACAATTTGCGACCATCATTGCAATAATGGCATATGAAAAGAACGTCAATATACCTGGAATATATCAAAGCCAATTGCAATTTTTGCGATATTATTTTTCTCTTTTTCTGTTAAAGAGACAATCATTGTACATTCTCCATTTTTATCATCGTCATCTTTCTCACTCAGAGTCACAAAAAACTGGGGATTTCTCCAATACAGTTCTGAAAATTAAAGATTTTGTATCTTCCGGTCATTTGATGTGGTTATAACATCACTTGGACTACCATTTTAGCACAAAAGAATTTAAATGTATAATAAGCGACGATAGCGAAAATTGCCAATATACAGCACACAAAGATCCATTTTGATGTACCAATTTGCCAAGAATCATCCAGTTCAACCAGCCAAAGCAAGCAACAGGGAGTATCGAAAATGGTGATGCACTTTTCATTGATATCAAAAGAGTGAACGCCATATGAGCGACATACTAGGATATGATATTATGAAGTTATGTTCTGAATATAAGAATGACAATGCTTACTTTGATGAGGTGAATTCCCGCAACCACCAGCTGTAAGTCCTGGTTTCCATGCATCATGATACATAGTGACAGACCAAGATGATGTGTTCTGCAAATTAATGAAGAAAGACAATAAGCCATGGATTTCATGCACTGATAAGACCTACGTGAGCTAGAGTCGAAGTATGAAAAAGGAAAGTTGTATAAATACCTCATCATAGGCAACTTCTTCAGTCAAAGCATCTGGTTGTAGATGACACATTTCTATTTCATCAAAATTATCAATAACATCACCATACGACATCCTGCAAGTTGAAGTCAAAAAACATAAAATGCTTATGACAAAAGAAACCAATCTTTGTGGAAGTTGTTGAGAAATGCCACCCTGCATGAAGTAAAAGTCAACAGGTTGAGTGCAGTAGCTAAGCTGGCTGGCTGGCAAATGTCCTTACTTTGGCAACCATAATCTGCAACTTGCAGCCAGCCTCCATTTATTTGCCATCTTCGGTCCATAGTATCAATATATTATGTAACTTGATATAGAAGTGTATAATTACCAGAATTCACCATCATCAGCAGTATCAACTTGTAAAGAATTTCTAACAGAAGGTGTTAATGTCCTCATTTCCACGGATCTAAAAAAAAAAATAACGCCCTAGGATAGGTAGAACAGGTACGCGTGTACTTTAGTTGAAAATTTTTTTTTACTGTTTTTAAAAAAAATCTAGGTGGCCATGACAAAAAATAAAGTATTTCAGATAAAACTTCAAAAAGATAAATTAATGGTTGGCTGGTCAGAAAGACCGGTTAAGAGTGAGTTAATGATAGTTGAGTTGTACCTATCTGACCAAGCTCCTATCCATTCTCCTCTTCCCCATGGGTTTCTTAATCTGAGTAGATGGGACGAGTGACCTCTATTGATAACCTGAAATTGATACAGAATATGTAATATAATATATGTTTAAGATTCTAAAGAATACGAGAAAGAAATCCAATAATAAGCTAAACTGTTTCTGAATATGCCTACAGTAACACAAAAAACATCTTTACCTCTTTGATACCAGTAATACTGTATGCATGACCACTGTATAGGCCATTGGGATGTTTTACTTCAGATGACGTTGCATTAGGTGGTCTCTGAAAGTAATACAGATACATTGTATAGCATTGTCATTAACAATTAACAAAAATATCTTCTAAAATAAGATTTTCTTCAAATTGTCTTAGGTTGGTACATTCAGAGTTAAGGATTTTTATGAATAATTTTCATTTAATCTAAATAATAATACGTACATGAATACTGGCTCCAACCATAGAATTCATTGCTATAGACTTGTGTAGAATGTGGAAGAGGTTACGTGGTATAGTGTTTTTATTTTCAATGCTGATGACTTCACCAATACCTCCGGTCAGATCTACTAGAGCATCTCCTATCTTACCACCTTCTAGACCACTGTAACCACCCCGTAATCTATAATACACAATACAATTATTTAAAACCTTCTAAATCACTGCAACCACCTAGTAATCTACAATAAACAATACAATTATTTTATACTTCCTAGGTCACTGTAACCACCTAGTAATCTACAATATACAATACAATTATTTCAAACCTTCTAGATCACTGTAACCACCTAGTAATCTACAATATACAATGCAATTATTTCAAACCTACTAGACCACTGTAACCACCTAGTAATCTACAATACACAATACAATTATTTCAAATCTTCTAAATCACTGCAACCACCTAATAATCTACAATAAACAATACAATTATTTTATATTTCCTAGATCACTGTAACCACCTAGTAATACACAATATACAATACAATTATTTCAAACCTTCTAGATCACTGTAACCACCTAGTAATCTACAATATACAAAACAATTATTTCAAATCTTCTAGATCACTGCAACCACCTAGTAATCTACAATAAACAATGCAATTATTTCAAACCTTCTAGATCACTGTAACCACCTAGTAATCTACAATATACAATGCAATTATTTCAAACCTACTAGACCACTGTAACCACCTAGTAATCTACAATATACAATACAATTATTTCAAACCTTCTAGATCACTGCAACCACCTAGTAATCTACAATAAACAATACAATTATTTTATACCTTCTAGATCACTGTAACCACCTGGCAATCTACAATATACAATACAATTATTTCACACCTAATAGATCACTGTAACCACCTAGTAATCTACAATATACAATACAATTATTTCAAACCTACTAGATCACTGCAACCACCTAGTAATCTACAATACACAATACAATTATTTCACACCTACTAGATCACTGTAACCATCTCGTAATCTACAATAAACAATAAAATTATTTCAAACCTTCTAGATCACTTCAACTACCTAGTAATCTACAATATACAATACAATTATTTCAAACCTTCTAGATCACTGCAACCACCTCGTAATCTACAATTCACATTACAATTATTTCAAACCTACTAGATCACTGTAACCACCTAGTAATCTACAATAAACAATGCAATTATTTCAAACCTACTAGATCACTGTAACCACCTAGTAATCTACAATATACAATACAATTATTTCAAACCTTCTAGATCACTGTAACCACCTAGTAATCTACAATATACAATACAATTATTTCAAACCTTCTAGACCACTGTAACCACCTAGTAATCTACAATTCACATTACAATTATTTCAAACCTACTAGATCACTGTAACCACCTAGTAATCTACAATAAACAATGCAATTATTTCAAACCTACTAGATCACTGTAACCATCTAGTAATCTACAATACACGATACAATTATTTCAAACCTACTAGATCACTGTAACCACCTCGTAATCTAGAATATACAATACAATTATTTCACACCTACTAGACCACTGTAACCACCTAGTAATCTACAATATACAATACAATTATTTCAAACCTTCTAGATCACTGAAACCACCTAATAATCTACAATAAACAATACAATTATTTCAAACCTTCTAGGTCACTGCAACTACCTCGTAATCTACAATATACAATATAATTATTTCAAACCTTCTAGATCACTGCAACTGCCTAGAAATCTACAATAAACAATGCAATTATTTTATGCCTTCTAAACCACTGTAACCACCTCCTTGTCTACAATTTATAACGTAATTATTTTACCATCATCTAGACCATTGTAACCCATCCGTATATATTATATAAACATACTATACAATTACTGATTTACCATTTTTGATCACTTGTAGTCCGCCTTTTGATTTCAGGACAATAAGAGGTACCTACTTTGCATAAGCTTTTTCTAGTAAGGCACTCCAAAATTCGTTTCTGTTCCCTACATTCTGACAGAAGATGAGATTTCTACCATTAGTTGGTAAATAATCATCCACTACAACTTCTACCCATTCTCCATACCACCAGAAATTAAAATGGAACACGCCTAAAACAGACGGGAAATCCCAGACATTAAATGTTAATTGCCAGAAAATATGTCTAGACAATTAAAAGAGAAGAGGGGGGGAAGGAAGTAGACGAGGATGTGGATATAGTAGAAATAGAACAGAGAGGAGACTGCGAATGCAAAGAAAGTGCCAAGGGGGAAGGTGATGAAGAAGTTAAGCGTGAATATGATGGTGGAAGAAGTGCATGGAAAAGGTCACAAAGAAGATGCAAACAAATATGTGGGAATAGAGTAATTAATTTTCAAGCAACTCGGCAGATGGGGATGAAGCAGTTGCTTTTCAAAGAGATGAAAACATAATACCTGCATAGTTTCGTTCGAATGACTGGTTTAACGGTACAATACGTTCTAGTATGTTTCTATGTGATGTACAGATGATTGCTGCTGCAGCTACAAACCAACAATTACCTGTAATGCAATTTAATAGATGGAAGGTTAAAGGGCTCTATATTTTGCTTTTGTGAATGATCGAATCCCATTCCAATTCCAACGAACCGGGTTAATTCTGAAATGAAATATTCGCACAGATGAACTAGATTGATACCAAGTTGCAAATTACTCATGCATGTTTTTGAAAAACTGAAATATAATTCAGTTCCCAGGTGTATGGAGAAGACTATTAAAAATAGATTATACTTTCAATACCAGTCGCCTACATTGACCTATAATGTAAGATTAATATTGTTAATATAATATGTCTAGTTGTATTTGGGTATATTTAAACCTTGTTATTCAGTTTGTATAGACAGGCAGATCGTATTATTTATAAAAGTTATTGCGAACAATATTTCTTAGAAATAATATATACACTTCAATAGATCACAGTACGATGTCTCTAAAAATCCAAACAAGTGAAAATAAAGTTGTTTAATTTCATCGTTGTACTTCCGTCCTACAAATTCGTCCATTAAAAGTTAATGTATATATATTTAACTAGATATAACGTTTTAGAGCTGGAGATATCTCTGTTAGTTGTTAGTTGGTGGTCTGGGACCATAATCCTTTAAGGGGCAGACATCCAAATGTTTTTAACTGGTTCATATATTATCTTCAATAGTCTACATTTAAAAGCAAGAATACAGTCGATACGTCTTTGTTCAAGGGGAATCTTAAGTAAGGTTTTGATTCTGAGAAGTGAAATGGATAACTAAATTTGTGTTCTTGTCAGCTAGTATTTTTAATCTTTTATTCTTAACTAAATGGGCTCGTAAAAGATGATGAGCTTTATGAAAATAAGGAGTGGGTGTAAATTTTTTGTCATGTTATTAAATATGTATATAGGTTTAAATAGTTGTCATTTAAACAGACTTGAGGAGTTTTTTTTATATAATGTAGGTTAAACACACAAAGAAAAGAGTAGCTACTCATATAAATGTTATTCACTTCATGCACATTCTTTTATTGTTTTGTATACGTACTGTCTCCGGTTACAACCTACAGGTTTAATTATGTGTCTTATGTCACATAACACCATTTTCTACCTACGCCTATATACGGGAGCCGTGGTGACTTAGTTAGACGCTAGATTAGGGTCCAGGGTTCAATCTCTGTAGTCAAGATACCACCCAGTTAGACCTACCCCAATGTACTGATACAGATCGTATTGGCTGACATGGAAAAGGCATCTATCTGGTCGTTCAGATTGAACAATAAGCCAAGGACCCGTGTGTTAAAGACTAAGCTCGTAGGATCCCTTGAATGCCATTGACTGTCCAAGCGAAATTATTTAATTCTTTTTATTTTGCAATACAAGATGACTAAACCAATCATATTAACAACCTGAATATGACATACAACATAATATACTACTACATAAAGTCAACATTCAAGGTTTTCTCCCAGTTTGGCCCACCGTCGCAATATTCTGGAACTTATTGACATACTTCCCAGCCTCTGATTATAACCGTGACTGATAACCTTCCAAAATACCAATCAAAAATTGTAACAGCCGACAATCTATTAGACTGATATTTCAATAACTAAAAATTTGCATCAAGATTACCTCCCTTGATAACATATTTTTAATTTTGAAATATTACCTCCCTTGAACCTTTTCTTGTTTCTGGGTGGTTTCATTCTCACCATATATAGAACTGTAAAAATGCGTTTACATTATGGCTTGTTGTTTCCAGACTCTGTTGGGGCTCTCAGATTGGCTAGTGGATCAAATCAGACTATACTAAGACCATCAATACGTGTTTCTGGTTTTTGGTGACAATATCCTCGTGGACTTGACATCGCTAATATTGAATGGTTCTGTCTTGATTTGCACTACTTTAATTTCGTGATGCTACACTGTATGGGATGAACATTAGTCGCGTTTAGACAGCCATAAAACCTGGCCCACTTGAAGTGAACCGTACTCGGTCCGGACTCGGCCCGGTTGGCCTGTACCGTTTACACAGCACTGTTTTCACTGGGCCAAAATCAAAAGTAGACCAGCTCTCCAGTCAGAGGAGGCGAAAAAAACACAAACATACAAAATGGCGCCCGCTATAAACAAAGCTATGATTTTGAAGTTTTTGTTGAATTTGTTTAAAGCGCAAACGAACCTTAAGAATCTCCAATTTTTTTTTGAGACACACAGCAATATGTCACAATATGTAAACTTGCGTCAAAGTTTAGCCTAGTTTGTTGTTCCCGCGAATAAAGTAACAGGGTCAAGGTCATTATTGCGCATGCGCACAAGCCCCTGGCTAAGTGGGCCAAGTTGGCCGGACCGAGTCCCGACCTGGCCCGGATAAATTGTGGCTGTCTAAACGCGGCTATTGTCGCGCTTTTTCTTTACACTTACACCTGGCTTTGTCATCCATATCCATTTTTAATGATCTAATTATGAATTATTTCATTATGCTGTAAATCGTATTCTAGAATCTAAACTAATGTATGTATAGTGTAATTTAATTTTCTGAATAAGATTAACTAAGGAATCTAGGTATGGCCAAGTAGACCTAGGTTACGGATGGATACTTACCTATTCTACCTTGGTTTAAATCGTGCCTTGAAATGTCACTGGTAAAAACAGGATACGATACTATATCCTGTAGAATAAAATACATAATAACAAAACATTATAAGCTAGCCTAATATAGACAACAGGGGGGGGGGGGGGGGGGGGACTTTATAAGCATCGGCCGTGGTAGGGCCTATCATTTAATTGCATTCGTGGCCTTTGAATTCTTCAATTCACCACACATTATACACCCAAAAATATAATGTTTACAAATATAAATGTCAAAGTGATATGGTAAACTGAATCATTGTTATCTTCTTTCTGACTTAACATGTTAGTTTACTGAGCTCATATGCCTTTCTTTTTTTTTTTGATTCTGCTTTATTATTTTTATTTAGTGATCAAAATACCACAAAAATATGTTAGTTTCAGTTTAAGGGCAGACCTATATAAAGCATTCTTTCACTTCAATGGGAAAATTTGCTTAATCATAGAATATTTTGTCAGATTGTGGAACTGATTAGACTGTGCTGCGTTGTTAAACCTAAATAGCCCTTCTTTAAGCATATAACTTACCCTTGGACGTTTCCATATAACTCGTCCATAGTTTTCTCTGACTGGTGCATTACTGATATACAGAGAACGTTCATCGGGTGGAAATTCTGGATCTGTATATAATCGTCTTATAGCTAAACATTCAGCAAGTATAGATTCATAATCTCGTTTTTTAACTCCATTCATGGCCATAATTTAACTGATATATCAATGATATTATAGTGGTTAATAACACAGCCTATAGACTAAATCATATTGACTATGTCTCTATACCTTATCAACAGCACTGTCACTATCACACACTGCGAAATAGCCTACAGTTATTAAACTTTATCACTTTTACGTATTTTGCACAATTTTCACTTCATTCGTACAATATAGGACACTTCCTTCATATTCATAATCTTACGACCAGTTGTAATCTACCAGTTGTACTTATACACCTGTAATAAACACCCAGGTATATAATATATTGTGTAAACTATACTATATCATATACAATTGTATAGGCGGCTTTACTCTATTTAACAACAGGTATGGTATCGCAAGCCAAGCATATAAAGATGTATGAAAGGACATCCAATAATAAAGGTGAGATATTCATAAACCACCAACAATACATTACCTGTTTCTGATTTATTACTGGTCGTTGTGACCTTCACCTTCAACCTGTCAACTCAGCTTAAAGGAATTTGATTGATTTATTGATCTGAGTTTGAATTATAAATAGAATACAGAAACCATTGGTCGTTATCATACATTCTCTCGATCTCTCAGATTTTACTTTCGTTTATTATAATACAGATTCCAGTATTATACTGTGAATTAAACGCTGCTATATTTATTGTTTACAATTCGTTATTTAGTCATATATTTACTTACAAAGTGATTTTAGCTAGGTTTGAATACAGTTCCAAACCAATTCCTCTTGACTGTGTTTCAAGTTGGGAGGTTTAACAGAAAAATCAATAAACGGATGCCTCGTGTCCTAGATTCTATAACTGTTGAAATTAAGAGGACCGGATTGTGTAATAGTTGGCTAATATAACTGTTCTTGATTCAATCTCCTGTAAACCCAGTCCGAGGCCCCGTGTGCTACACGTGCTGTGCACGTTAAAGATCCCTCGACAGTTGGAAATCTAAAAAGAGCAGACTTATGCCGCTGTCCTGGCAAAATTTCTCTCATGGCGTTGCCCGTCGTCATTAGCCCACAAGGTGCAGAAAAGTAGGACGTAAAACTCCATTTTTTTCATTTCATTTCCTGTAAGAGACATGTAGGCTAAATTAACGACTTGCAATTTTGCATATCTTTGTAAAGTGGTCATCGTTTTGTACATTCAATTTAGTTCTAGTTCTGCATAACGTGAAGAGGACACTGTAATGTCTTCACTACATATTATAACAAGGCTAGCAATACACCGAAGTGGTTTTTCACATGAATGTGTACCTGTATTATTGTCTCGGTCGGTAACAGTTGCTGATATCACAGAATAGGTAGTTATGTTATTGCTAGCTTGACAGTTGGCAGTATCTTCGAGACCAATTGAATTGTTCGGTACTGTTTGGAAATGCCTGATGGTGTTGTGGGAGTCCACTACTAAACTACCTTTACTTCCAATTTTGCCATTTTTTGGACGAGATTGATGGACGGAAGTGTCTTGTTTGTACGAATTTTTATTTTAGTTTTCTTCAGATCGCTGGTCTGGCCGAAATACAATGGTCTCATTGTCTCAACTCAACTGTAAAGCTCGACAGTTGAAGCTCTGGGTGTTATTACTTGAAATAGGCTATGTTAACTCTCATCGAGCGTCCATCCTCCGAGCCCCTGGTATCACTTTACGCTGGTTTTGTTTCATATCAGATCAGTAATTTCTAAATTACCTCCCTTGACTTCGATGGGAAATCACATGTAATCTGCCTTGAAATTTTAACAATTTATCTCTTCTTTTCAATCCAATGCCATACCTGTAACTATAACCACATGAAATCTGAGTGAAATATGCTTTTTCTTTTGGTCAAGACAGTGGCTGATGGCTACCCTGCAAACTTTGTTTGTAAATCTTTACATGTTCATGTGCGCTCGATTTTTTTATAGTGTTAGAACTTGTCAGATGAATTCCTACCTTTAACAAGATTTATTTCAGAATATTATCTCCCTTGAAATTGGAACAATTTTGGTACCTACTGAAATCGTTATACGTCAATTAAGTTCATCGAGTTATTTGGCTTGGACTGAGACATTTTATTTATACATTTATTTTCCAAAAGTCAATTTTCTTTGATCATCCTGACCATATTTTACGATGAGTTTCAAAATATAATAACACAAAATTGTATTCAATACATAAATTTAATCTGTATAAATATATATATAGTATGTATTCAATTAAGTTACACTCTAGTTACTTGGAAGGATCCATAACAATTTTACATGCTTTACCACTAAATAGTGTTTTAAATGCTTCTTCATATTCAGACATCTTATATTTATGTGTTATAATAGGGCTAACATCAATGATGCCATCAGCTACCAACTTCTCTATCTTTTCCCATGTATGATACACTCGTCTACCGTGTACAGTCTTCAATGTTAGGGCTTTAAATACTGAAATGTATCGGAAAACGTCATAAATGAATTCACACTCACACATAAATATAACACTATTAGAAAATATTTATCTATACGTATATACTATTGAGAACAACCTTCATGAAATAGTCTTTTTGATGCTTACCGATATCTGTTAAAACATTCTCCACGTGAAGTGGTTCTTTTGGTAGACCTACCATTACAATATGGCCACCTTTTCTCAACATGGAAAATGACGAGTTCACCATTGAAGAAGCTCCACTACATTCACATAACCTACCTATACCTACACCATTAGTAAACTTGTACACAAACTATAAGAAATACCAAGTAAAATCATACACAGACAGTTGACAGACCTTATCCTGACCAGCAATGACTGTTTTCTGTGATCTTCGTCGAGTTTCGGGTAATGGTGAAATTGGGACATTATAACCACGAACTGTAAAACATTGTCATTCCTGAAGATTCAGGTATTATGAAAAGTGTAAGGATTTAAGACACAAGAATACAGCAGCACCAATATAGAATATTGGTAATCAAACATAGAAACTTCAATGCTTATAGACGACACGGAACGATGGGTCGGACAAAATATACTTGCATCTTTCAAATTTTCTCGACCCGAATTCACTACTACGTCAGCGCCAAGCTTTGTAGCCAGTTCCAATCGCCTATCATCAATGTCGGCTGCTATTACCCTGAAATAAATGAATAAAGTTATATAGTAAATAGTGCGTTTAAAGAGGAAATGTACATAACAGTTAACAAGAACAATATACCTTATATTATTACATGTATCAATAAAAATGATAAAAATTTGGTTCTGACGTATGGTTTAAGAAGATGTGCGCATTATAGGCCTACATATCTGCCTATTATGTACACAGTAATATGGGTATCGTGTTTGACAGTAACAGTTGTATTATAACATTCGGTCATATTGTTCACACAATCAGTTTTTATGTTGAAATCCATAGTCTCTACTTGTGACCTAGGCCACTGCTTCTATAGGAGAGTATCTTCTATAACACCTGTAACTATCATTGACAACTTTTGGCTTATATATATATATATATATCTGTAAAATTATCAATCGGGAACGATTGCAAAACAAACCTTCTACCACCGAGTGCTTTGACACATAGCTGAGCAAGTAAACCAACAGGACCACAGCCAATAACTAAAACATCTTCATTTTTCACTTCCAAATTTTCGATAGCATTATGAGCTACACCTAATGGTTCTAACATAGCAATCTCATCACCACCTATAATATCAACCATTAAAATATTACCGTTCTCCAAATTATATAGTTCTGTAATTTGTTCGAGAGAGTCGTAGGCTACGAATCCTCTGAAACCTTTAAGATTTCGCAAGATTTTGTACGGGTTATTGTCGGAGGCTGTCATAATAAATATTTGTAGTCTGTATCCTGCAAATATGGGTTATCTTACTTTAAATGATATCACTTTGCTTGATAAGTTGCTCTATTTTAAATAAGTATTCTTACTCATGTTTCTCTTCATTATATACAGATATTTAGCAGAAACGATTGTATATTCTGAACAGCCACCATGTTCTGTCTTTTTACCATGTCCAAACTGACCCATAGTAGGACATATTCCTCTATCTTCATATTTACACTGTAGACACGTACCACAGAAAAAATGATTTTCTACGCCTACTTTGGAACCGATAGGAATACTGGCTTCAGGTCCACATTTAACAACAGTTCCAGCACATTCGTGCCCAGGCACAAATGGAATTTTAGCAATAACCCTTGCAACATCATTCCATTTATATAGATTAATATCGGATCCACATATTGAAACTGAGTCTACCTTGATCAACACTTCATCACCTTGTGGCTGGGGTACAGGCATATCTTCATAACTATAACCATCGTTTTCATCACGTTTTACTAATGCTTTCATTGTTTTAGGTATATCCCTATCAGCCATATTGTAGTATTTATTGATTCTTTTTAGCACTATGTTGTAAAGTTTAGTACAAATAACAAGCGTCGAAGCCTTTATAATCAAGATAGAATACTGATTTATCTCGACCTCATTGTATAACTTCAAGGATATTCAAAAGATAACAACTTTTCACTTACTGATAAGTGATCACATTAATGGCCTTCACTTACCAGCACCTTTTATTATACTTTGTTGAATAATAATAAATGGGACGTGTCGTACTACCTGAAAAGCATCACACTGAAGCAGTGAAGGTTTCAATTGTGGTCTCTTTCCATGTTAAATAACTAAACGAACCTTCTATAACCCTTTCCAGGAATCTTGTCCAAAATTTTACAATATGGCATCTGAAAGCCTGACCAGTATACTTATTGTATTGTCAATAAGGTAAATCGAAAGTAGACCACGGCTCACGGCCGGATAAACATCCGCCTGTACCCTACACTCCACAACTTTTTTATTCACACCTGTTCTTCCGCACCCAAATCTCATCAAACTTCACCAGAATTTGAGGGAAATGCCAAATTCGGACATCAAAATGAAATCTAGACCAAAAATAAACATGCAAAAAAAGAAACAAAGGGGAAAAGAAGGTAATTTCTAAAAATACCATAGACTACATTCGTAATACATGAGTTGTTCCCCTTTGACCACGTACAATGATATAAATGTTATTACAGATCGTCGGTTTGCTTCTTTTATCATAAGATTAGACATCAAACTTGCTCAACTGATGAAGTAAAATATATTTTCAGTATTTTGTCCTAGTTGAAGGGAGATAAATGATGTGATATTTATATCAAGCGTAACATCTGTATGGTTTACAATCACGGTTAAGTAAGGTAAAAGTGATTGTGATAGATACAGTATAGTGTTAATAGAATTATGGTCTACACACCATGCTGTTATATGATTTCATTCATTTAGATAATGATCAAGTTAATTTGTCTACGGAACCACAGGTACTATGTAATCAACTATTTAGTATTAATTTACCTGTAACGACTATTCATTTTTGATAAGTTTATCTTTTAATTATAGTTTCTGTTAGATCTAGCCGTCTATACGCGGATTATCGTGATTAGACAGAAGGATAGGTATCATACCGTGAGATGTTGGTCACCTCGCCAAGATTAGCGGTGCTTTGAGTGTAAATCAGTTAATTTGATTAGATGCGTCTGTATATATGTAATGGGATTATTTGGTATTTCAATTCCGTTCTAATCAGCAAAAAATACGTAATATCACCATTAATTGGAAACTTTCATATCGTTCGATATTTTAGTTTATGCCTGAGACATGCTTTTCGACAGAGGCAGATAGGATTGGGAAAATTAGGATCTTTCAGAACACAACCATAACAGATTTGGCCTTGCAAATCCAATATAACAAACCTCCATAAAATTTTACGTTCTATTTAATATTTGACTACGGTTTGGTGCAATGTTTTCAGTTTTAATCTGCGAAACTGTAAATATATTCAATTCAAACTACAGCAAATAGTAATATATGGGTACAATAGGATTAAAGATTATCTGTTTAAATACAATGATAAAGATATAAACTGTATGTCACTGACACTCTTATTTGTAAATCAACGAGTAAATATCGTATAAACTATCATAAATACCAATAATACCCGGTACAAAACACCAATGATGTCATTTTAATTCACCTATTATTGTGCTATAAACGATTATAGTGTTAAAAACAAACACATTTTATTACATAGTATACTAGTGTTGTTTTATACCACACTTTGACACGTTATTTTAATGAGTCAGTGTCATTCGAGTTTCAAAGATTTAAACCATTATCTCTTATCTATGACATTTTCATATGTTCATTTGCTCGATTTTCACACTGATAGCTGAATAATTCTTTTAAAAACTAAATGTAGATACCCCCACCCCCTCACACATCATAAATATATTTTAACTTATCCTACCTGTAAATCTGGCAAACTCTTAAATTCTAAACAGTTATATGTTTGTGTTCTACATAAAAGACGTTTTATATTCTAAATTGATATCATTTATAATAAACATTTTGTTGTTCTTATTTAGTAAATTAAACAAAATATTTTGGTTGCGTTTTGGTGCCTACAAGTTATTTTTCTCTTGTGACGTTTCTCAATGTAGCCTTATTGAAAGGTGTAGGCCTAATAATCTTTACACTGAAAATAAATATTTCCTTATTTTTTTTTTATATGAAATGATATTAATACTGCAATATGAAACAGATATATCATGGATCAAACAGGATCAGATGTTTCCAAACTCATGGTCACTCAACAGAACACACCCAGTCTTGCAATATTCGTCTATTGTTTAATAGCCGATGTCATAATATTATAACTCTTTGAAATATAAAAAGGGTGTAAAGATGGCCGAGTAAATATTATTAATATGATCATTATAAGAGATAATAAATGCGGTCGTCTTTCATCTCTTTGTTTTTGTGGGTGATTTACCAAAAGAGTAGTTATAAATATATTGTTCGTAAAACTTGCCACAATGATAAGGGCTGACACTTTTATAGGGACTGGCCTGAAGGGTTTTTCTAGTAATTATAATACAACTATTAAATATTTTAAACTCATTATTTTTCCTCACTTTACTTAGTTTTCTCTGTGAACAATCTATGAAGGCGTACACATCGTTGTAAACCTACATTTTGGATTTATAAACGTACCGGTATATATATATTCATGACTGATTAAAAAATATAAACCAAAGATGGGTAAGTTTGAATTTTGTCTAAGAATCTTATGAGAATTCTGATGCATTTGAGTATAAGCTTAATGGTAGATCATGACATGATGTTAACGAATAGGACAGGATAAAGTTAAAAAGACACATATGTTCAAATTAAAATGTATAATATACATAGCGGTATGATATAAAGACTATATCAATTAGAATAATTGTACATAGATAAATATAGATAATTAAAATCTATTATATGTAACTAACAAACATCAAAAGAGACGACAAACCGTCAAGACTAGACTATCGGTGTTTATTAGGACAGATTGGAGATATAGTTTGATTATTCATGCTGTTTCCCCACCAGGGGCCAACATGAAATGACTTATGTTGTAGGCGTTTGGGCGGACTAGAACTAAGTCTAAGAGCAATTGATCTAGATATCATCAAAATTCATACCTCTCATAGAGAAATGAACAGCCTGCTTCGGCCTATAAATAAATAGTCCTTGATCTAGGCCTAGCCTACTTAAAAAGATAGGTTGGATATATTAGGCTTAGAAAAAATTTTAAAATTGTCTTAATTATTTAGCCTTGTCCAAAATTAGGTAAGAGGGCATGAGGAGCTGCCATGAATAAAAAATTGTCTCGAAAATTCAAAAATGCTGTTAATTGTTTATTCGTTATTGTTAAAGTTTAAAAAACCGCTATCCGTTAAAATGGTATTTATTTTTCAAATTGAAAAGAAACGCGGTACAATGCATTATGGGGGAGTGTCCCGAAATCGTTTTGAAACGTCATCAGTTGATTGGCCAATCAACGTGTAGCATCCCTAAATTCATAGTCAACCATCTCGCTGTATCAACAACATCATTTTTCAAATTTCTGTCTTTCTATGGGTTATTTTAGGAGTCTGTAGCAATGAAAGGTAAAGTATTGTCAAAAATCTTTAAATATTCAAACTCTTACGTATGATAAAATGGCAAATAACGATTGGTATGGCCTTTGTAATAGAGAATTGAATTATTGGTTTCCTTCCATCGAGAACACGACAACTTGAACAACTTCGAACTTCGAAATCAAATGACAATTTTACCCAAATTTTTAATGATAATAACAACTTCTCTGAAGAAATTGTTTAGTACGAATATGTTTTTATGCAATCCAGAAGTCAGAAGTAAGCAATGAATGCCAATGGTATTGAACTTATTAAAGTTAAACATTGTTTACTTCTTGGCGGTTCCGACTCAAAATACGAAAATTGGCTGTGCGCCAAAACCTATGCTAAAATGCTTTGATTCTTTTTTACTTTTCAATATGATGCATGTCTTAGATATTTAACAACATGTGGGTCCATATGTCGCCTTGGGAAGTTGCTGACCTGGGCTAAGTGCTCATCAGGTTTATTTTGATTGAATTGGATTATGTGCATGGAGGCTGACTTTGAAAAAATTATAGACCTACTCTGATCATTAAAATTAAAATTTTTATTATAGGCAGAGGCTAATAATAATATAATGTCTAGGTCAATAATTTAACAGAGTAGATCTATCTCATTGATTGCTTTCCTGAAGTTTTAGTTTGAAAATAATAACTTTAACATCCTACTCTGGGCACTTGATTAGACGAATGAAGACAGGCAATGCTTTCATGTAGTGTGCAAGTAGAAAAATTTATCCGGTAGCACTCATGAGCTAACCTAACTATTTAGCAAATTAAAGTGACTCTTAAAGGATCTCTTGACATAGCACACGTAAGATCAATGCATAGGCCTATAATAGGCTTCATTTGGCTGAAAAATGAAGTTTCTTTCGGATTTGACAGTTTTTTAAAGATTAGCCTCAGCCTTTAATTAAAAAACAATTTAGGTCCTGGTTGCATTTGGGCTTATCCTGCAACAGTAAAAAGTCACATTTTGTTTTATCAACAAAAAATATGGTGTTTAAATATTTCCTAAAATTTAAGGGCATGTGATACTTTAATGAAATTAATCAAACAAAGAGTTACAGTAATATACAGATGACATTCTTTCTGAATTTAGATCTACAGTTTTTGAAAATTTCAATATTTTTCACAGTGAAAGTTAGGTTGTGTACTAACTGTAAAGGAATTAACAAAAGACTAATCTACCATATTTGTTTAATCGATATGTGTTCAAGTACATGTAATAAGTTAATCCCTTCTGTTCCTAATAAATTATTAATCAAAATAGGTACAAACTAACTATGTTTTGACAAGCATTCAAATTATTTGTATATTTATGTCATCAAACAATCTGATTGGCTGACTCTTGATTGACCTAGTTTCTGATTAGCTCAATAATCTGAGTTTCCCGGGATACCTAAACAATTTCTAAAAATAGAACAGCACATGGCTAATCATGTCTTAGATAAAATGGTCGTGTCTCAACAAGAAATTATTCATTCGAACTGCATTCCACAGTACAGTTTCAGTGCTAGCAACCATTTATCCTTATTTATTCCTATTTATTTAATTTATTCATATTTTATCAAGATGTTTGTTGTGTCATGTAAGTAGAAATAAGTCAAATATTTATGTGGATTGTTGAGGAAGGTATAATACACTACTGAGGACTGTGGTCATTAGGACATTCTACTTGCACATCAAAGTCAGCTTTTTGAAATATATCTAAGGTGTTTGACTTTGGGAATTTGGTACAGTAACTGATAAGTTATTCGATCTATTTAGTGTAGTTGTGTCTTGTAGCATGATTCCATGTAACTTAGAGATGACCAAATTTCTTAGAATCAAGGTCACATTTGTTATGAGAATTTTTTCAGCTAATTAGGCCTACTAATTATATCATATGGGAACTTGTGAATAATTACTGATAATTCACTTTATATATATTACATATTAAAACAAGACTATAACACTAATTACCTGAAACAGGTGTTGATTGTGATAAATAATTATTATTTCTAAGTAACAGTTATAAGGTTATCACAGTTTGTACTGATCAGGAAGAAACTTGTTTCCATACTTCTCTAGTCAAATGTTATTCAGTACCATGTTAGTTCACAGTCTAATTCTATCAATCTATACCTTATTCATCTTTTTTTATTTTTCAGTATTAAAAAGTTTAGGTCAGCTACAGAAATCCCCTGAAAATGCCTTCATTCCCGTCCACTGTCAACTTAGACCAAGAACAAGAAGCAGTGTCACATTATGGCACTTACCTGAAGAAATTTGCTTACACTTGCTCAAACACTTACATATTAAAGACTTGCTCAATATGAAACTTGTAAGTATGAACTAGTTAATTCATTATATTTTGACTAAATCTGCATTTTTTGCGGTTCTTGTATTAAAACATAATTCGATATGCTTTCAAACCAGACAATCTGACATTTTCTTTTTATGATCAACACATTTAGGAAGCCATTATTGATCCAACGACCAACAGTAATAAATACTATGACAAAGATTATAATTATGTTCATTATTTTTTGCAGGTTCATTCCTACTTTAATGATCTCATCAGTAATAATAATAGTTTATGGTCTTGTGTTCAGTTTCATAATTGTTGGCCATCATTAGGAAATTTACATCATTTTCAACATGCAGCTGATTCTGGAAATGTGGAGGCTTTAGTTAAACTTGGTGTGGCTTATCTATATAATGAAGGATGTAAGTAGCTTTGAAAACAAAATTTTGAAAAAATATGTTTATTCATCATGCTTTTAGGAAATATCTCAATCAACAGTCAATGATAATCAAGAAAAGACTTTACTAATTAAAAAACTCCCTTCCATTTCTCAACAAACAAATTGTAAGATAAATTGAATATTTTATCATATGTTATTGTTTTCTCTTTCAGTACCAGTTGAATTTGATGAAGAAAATATAGCAGTAAATGGTACCAAGGCTGCCAAATATTTCTCCCAGATTGAAAAGATGAATAACAATAAAATAGAACCATTTACCTGGTTATTTATCCGCCCTCCATGGTCTATTTCTGGTGCCTGTTGTAAAGAAAGAGTATTTAACTGTATGAAATCATCTGTTGATGCTGTAAGTCTATAACTTATTATCTATTGAGTATCGATCTGCTAAATTAATAAATTTATGACTATTGTGGATTTTAAATGTCAATTTCTTCAATGTGATTAGATATTAATAATTTGGGATTGTTTTAGTAATATTCAATCTTTGTTTTTTTCAGAATGCAGATAAGCAGTTAGGACTATGTGTAGCTAAAACTTTACAGTTAATAGAGCAGGATGATAAACAGAGTGATTCTATACATTATTTACAACAGTCATCTCAACTAGGATCTGGCAGTGCTGCTTATTTATTATGGCAACACAAATATTCTGGCAAGGTAGGTACAAGTTAAAATTGTTATTGGTGTAAACAGTTCAGTACATGTAGTTAATTTATTTTAGTAAAATGTACAACCTCTGTCAGCAGAAGTTATTACCTCCCTTTGGTTACTCTCCTATCTATAAATATTAACTATGTTGTGATATGATTTCAGGTATTTGATACAGCCAGTGAATTAAATAGTATTCGTGAATTAAGAGATATTAGTTCTATGGGATGTCTTGATGCCACTCTAACCCTATGTGATTTCTATTCCCATGGTAAATATGGTGGAATTGCTCAATCTCGTGCTGCCTCCTTTATGAGAGAAACATTTCAGTCATCTACTCCTACAGGAACACATAAAATATTCCGAGGTTCTAACAATCTCAGTCAAGCTATGAGGTAAGATATTTTTTTAATTATTATTAGAACTTTTCTTATCTTTGCAACAGGAATAGGATGTAAAAGCTCCATTTTATTCCATATTAGCTCAGTTCTTCTAATTTAACCTACCCGTACCATTTTTTTTGCACTAAATGTTTCTGGTTATTCCGAATTAAACATTTTTTTTGGATTTTACAGATATATTTTAGTTGATTGGTTGGTAGAAGTAGCTGGTATGAAGAATTTCTCCAATCAAACACTACATACAGCAGTTAGTGTAGTTGATAGATTTCTATCTGTACAGAATGTACATCGTGCTAAATTACAGTTGTTAGGAGTTGCTGCTATGGTTGTTTGTTCCAGGTAAGGACATGTTTAATCAACTTATTCAAGCTACTTTAATTTTGGTACATATGACATTCTTCATGAAGTCTCTGAAGTTTTGTTCTGCAAATCAAAAAGTGAACCGTTGTTTGAATTATAGGTATCATTATTTATTAAATATTGTTTGTTATATTTGTAGGTTCTTAGGGAAAGATGTAATAACTATTAGAGAGGCAGCCTGGTTAACAGACAATACATATAAATATGAAGATGTAGTCAGAATGATGGGAGAAATCACAGCCTCTCTTCGTGGAAATATCAAACTAGCTACCAGTTTAGATTATGTACAAATTGTTAATGTATTAGCCAATATGAATGAGAAAGCCAGTTGTTTAGCTGAATATATCTGTGAACTATGTGTATTACAGTCAGAAATGGGCCAATATAGTCCTACAGAAATAGCCTGCTCTTCTGTATTATTAGCTAGATTACTGTTAAAAACAGAAACAGCATGGCCATCTCATATAGAAGAATTCACTGGATTCCCATTAGAAGATCTTAGTCGATGTGCTTTTCATATTCATGAAAAATGGTAAGTCTAATAATATTTTTTTTAATATAATCTCAAAGCAATGACCTGTGTTGACTATCACCAAATTTCTCAAAGTTTTAGTTATTGGCCAAAACAATTACTGAACCATTGATTAGTTATCTGTATCAAGATTAGTTTATAATTTCTGTTATTTTATTTCAGTTTTTTAGAAGGGTCAGTAATTGATCATAGAGAGATAACATTACAAGCTGTGAAACAGAAATATAGTGATGAGAAATTCCACAATGTTAGTTCTATTGATATTATGAACTATGAGGAACTATGTAACATGTTAGGAGTGACAGATTTCTATCTCAATGGTTTTGATTTAAAATTACGGTTTCGAAACTATGATGAACTTATAGTATCACCATGTCGAGGAAAATCTAAAGGAAGAAGGTAAAATATTCTTTGAATTAACTTTCTCATTCAAAACACTTACATACTCAAGGGAACAATCTTTTGATAAAAAGCAGTATGCTTGATGAACACATCTTGCCATTTTTGCAAATTATCTGTACTAAATTTTGTTATTTTATGTAAGCCTTGATATACCTTTTGCTAGATCGCAATTTTGACTTTTAAACTTGAGAGTAAAATTATCTTTTGTTTTTAGAACTGCTCCACGGTTTAATGAACGAGAGAATACAGCTACACCTACTATAGAGAAAGATATGATATTTAATGATTCCATGACATCAGGTTATGAAGGAGATGAAGAAGATGGTGAAGACTCTATGTTTGATGGTAAGTCATCTCATTTTCTCTTCATTACATTAATAAAGAATAGCTAGTATCAAGGAACTGTGTCTCAAGTGGTTGCTTTGCAAAATTAAATAGTGCCCCATTCTTTCTTTAAATTATCAATGCCTAAGTAGGAATGTTATTTAATTTGTTACCTTTTATTTTCAGATTCATTTAGTCCTATTAAGAGTGAAAATTCTGAAGTAACCTATGATTCTGATAGTGATACATATTCAGCCTGTATATCAAGTTATAGTCAAGTATCTTCTTCACCAACTAATTGTATGAACCCATTCTTAAACTCTTCCTCGGGTGTATCTTGTTCACCTTTGACCTCTAGTCCATACAGTAAAAAAGCCAAGTGTAATATTGACGGTAGAATATCAGATATTCCTGTATTTGCCGAGTTTAATCTACCAACATCATCTTGTGACCGAAGACGTAAAAATTGTCGAACCACTACCACTATGACCTCACCAAATGCTTTAAAGAGAAAAAAACGACCAACCTCCAGTAAATCCATGTTTGATTGACGATTCTGACTATTTTAATTTATTTATTGCTGCAAGTCATTAAATAGTGCCAAAAGTGAAACCACCATCCATTATATAAGATCTGATGTAAAGCATAATATTTATTTTGATATTTATATTGATGCATTCCTCTCATAGCTCATTATTTCAATCTCAATCATGTCTAAACCATTTATTCATTCCGTTCTCAAACTTTTAATTGAATGCCTCAAATTTAATTTATACTTTTGATAGATGTTTGTCATTTTATACTGTTTTGGTTTAAAAGTCTTTCTTATGGTATAAAAGGGTGAATGAATATTTGTGAATTGTGCATGATATACCAATAGTGCTTCTCAACTGGTGCAAACTTATACATGTATAATAAAATGTAATATATTGATTGTAGAGTGATATTTCGTCCATGTAAATATATTTATATATAGTCTATGATTATGAAGAATATAATCAATTGTTATTTTATTTATTTATTTGTTATTAATTTTGTTATTAAATCCCAAGTTATTATCATAATTAGTATTACTTTACAAACATCAGCAAATCATCCATCAACGACTCATTTCATACTTCTGTTTTCATTTAATTTAGTTGGAATGAAGTTTTATTTATTTATGATAAATATATGTTTATTTTCAGTATTTTGATACTAGTATGATAATGATGATTATTTTATAATTTTTTAATGATTTGTTATGTAAATAGATATTGTTATAGCGTTTACCTCAAATCAAATAATACATGGATTAAATCATAGTGAGTGTAAATGTTTCTGCTCTGATGGAAACCTTCCATATTGTATGAGTGACAATGTAATTACAATGTTAAATTGTTGAATAGATTGTTATAACAAAATTAAAACTATTTATACACTTTGTAGTAAATAAATTGAAAATATTTGAAGTTCTGTTTTGAGTTAATGTCTAGGAGTCCTGAAATGAATAGGACAGTTTCGACCTGGAATATGAAATAAAATAGAGCGTATGCCATGAAGACTGGCAGCGCAAGGCAGAGTACAATAAAGGAAATTTTGCCAGGACAGGGGCATTAGTCTACTCTTTTGAGGTGCACAACCTGTATCACACGGGCCTCGGTTTATTGTCCATTCCGAGCGACTGAACCTCCCCAGTTTGTTTATTATTAATCTTAATACAGTACAATGACCAAGGGAGTGACACCAGCTATATTTTAATACATTAGTATACTTATAAGTATTACAAAACAATAGGAATTCCATCGGAAACAAGTTTCAACTATTACATATTATTTTCACCAATACACTCCTTAGTACCATAATCGTAAGAAGTGGGGTGTGGTAAGGTGAGGTTTGTTTTGGCAGGTAAGAAGAGACTGCAAAACTTGTACAATGACAAAACTACACGATTTTGGAATTATAGAACAGATATACGGAAGAAGAATAAACAATACAACACAAAGGCAGATGGTACAACAGGCGCATTTTAACATTAATCTGTGTTCTACAACATTAACCCATTCCGGCTCGTTTTGATTTGAGCTTCAAACTCTTGTCTAGACTTTCCTAGCCAATCGTCTGATTCTATTTGTATGAAACAGAAAGTTATATTCACCAATTATAAGAGAGTTTAGAATGGAATGAATCACGCGGTCGTTTACTGCAGCTATTAGAGAGTGCTCTTTCTATCTTTTATTATCAGTTCCTCTTCTAGACGCATTGGGTCACTGTGAGAGGAAATTTTAATTTTATTTCAAACTTTCATTGGTATCTTCTACTTAGTTCTATAACCAGAATATCAAAATGGTAAGTTCAATTTTTTATATAATAAATAGTTATAATTTTGACCACGATTTTCACGGGGTTTTAGAATTTTTCAATTTTGTTAACAAAGGGTTCTTTTGTTTGAAATATATTTTCACTTCTGCTTTAAAATGTATTTTATGTTCTTCTACTTTGAATTACTTTGTGATAGAAGGTTAAGACAAAAAAATTGTTTTGTCTTTATTATTAAAACTTTTATTCAAGTTCATATATTTCTGTATTCAGTTTTGAAATGTTGGAAATGTACTCGGTTATCCACGTGTTTCTGACAAAACTCAACGTAAAGATAACAGTAGACAAGCGAGGTACAATGTTGGCCTGCTTCCAAAAGATTCCCTCTGATTAATTTGACATGCCAAACGAGAATTTTTTTTATCTTAGAAGTAGTGAGTCATCCTTATTGCTCATCAGACGTCTGGCAAACCCTTCATTCAAACTATCAAATTTCTAGAGAAGAATAAACTTTCTGCCAGATGTTTTGTAATCAATATAATCCTGCGAGAGTTCTACCGTTATCTTACATCTGGTGCCAGTTTATTCATTAAATTCAACTCTCGCTGTATATTCTGCACCCTACACACACACACTCTGAAATAATCAAATTTATTTCTGAGTCTGCAAATATTAATGTTATTTCGACTTTCAAACTCTGCACTATACTATATAATAAATATTTTACCACACATTTTTAAAATATATTCATTGAATGACATACAACATAATTTTATTAGATTATAATTATGTTATTATATTGTTTGAATATTTCAGCGTGAGTGTATCTCAGTTCATGTTGGTCAAGCTGGTGTCCAGATGGGCAATGCCTGCTGGGAGTTGTACTGTTTGGAACATGGCATCCAACCTGATGGTCAGATGCCATCTGATAAATCATTGATTGGTAGTGACGACTCCTACAATACTTTCTTCAATGAAACTGGAGCTGGAAAACATGTACCAAGAGCCATTTTTGTTGATTTAGAACCAACCGTTGTAGGTATGTGCAAATTTGATCATTCTTAACGACAGTTTGATAGGGCTTCATGGATCTTGCTTCTATCGATATTGATGAACTAATTGTTAACCTCTAAATAAATACTGATGTGTTGTTCTTTGAATTTCAGATGAAGTAAGGAATGGTCAATACAGACAGCTCTTTCATCCTGAACAACTTATAACAGGTAAAGAGGATGCTGCTAATAACTATGCCAGAGGTCATTATACAATTGGTAAAGAGATTGTTGACTTGGTCCTGGATAGAATCAGAAAGTTAGCTGATCAATGTACTGGGCTCCAGGGATTCCTTGTTTTCCATAGTTTTGGTGGTGGAACTGGTTCAGGCTTTACCAGTTTACTTATGGAAAGATTATCAGTAGACTATGGTAAAAAATCCAAATTAGAATTTGCTGTTTATCCAGCTCCCCAAGTATCCACTGCTGTAGTAGAACCTTACAATTCAATTCTTACAACCCATACCACATTGGAGCACTCAGACTGTGCTTTTATGGTTGATAATGAAGCCATTTATGACATCTGCAGACGAAACTTAGATATTGAGCGCCCATCCTACACCAACTTGAACCGATTGATAGGACAAATCGTCAGTTCGATCACAGCCTCTCTCAGATTTGATGGTGCCTTGAATGTCGATCTCACCGAATTCCAGACAAACTTGGTGCCTTATCCACGTATCCATTTCCCATTGGCTACATATGCACCAGTTATCTCAGCCGAGAAAGCATACCACGAACAACTTTCAGTTGCTGAAATCACAAATGCATGTTTTGAACCATGCAACCAGATGGTAAAATGTGATCCCCGCCATGGGAAATATATGGCTTGTTGCATGTTATACAGAGGAGACGTAGTTCCCAAGGATGTTAATGCAGCTATCGCTACAATCAAAACTAAAAGAACCATTCAATTCGTCGACTGGTGTCCAACTGGTTTTAAAGTAGGAATCAACTACCAACCACCAACTGTTGTACCAGGAGGTGATTTAGCTAAAGTTCAGAGAGCTGTTTGTATGTTGAGTAACACAACTGCCATTGCTGAAGCATGGGCTCGCCTTGATCATAAATTTGATCTGATGTATGCCAAGAGAGCTTTTGTCCATTGGTATGTTGGTGAAGGTATGGAAGAAGGCGAATTCTCTGAAGCTAGAGAAGATTTAGCTGCTCTAGAAAAAGATTATGAAGAAGTCGGTGTCGATAATGCTGAGAATGAAGAGGAAGACGATGGGGAAGAATATTAAATTTTTCGATGATGCCGAATGATTGTTTGTTATTATAAAGCTTTCAGTGTTGCCTTTAATGCCGTTCAAATGAACAAAAAAAACGTTAAAAGGGACCAAATTCCTTTTTTTCACATCATTAGATATAAAACTAATTCTGCCTATGTATGTGCCAAATTTTATTGCTCATATTTAATTTATTAAACAGAAGTAAACTGATATTTCATTATAGACCCCATCGTATCACGAATAAGGGTTTTGACACAGGGAAGTATGACGAATGGGTGCGTCGTTTCGACACGAAGATTATACCCCAAAGATTGACATCAATTTCAATAGTCTATGTCGTATGGTATGGAAGTCCCTCAAGTTCTCTGATTTTATTCGATTATCATACATGTACTTAAAGAATTCTTGAAGCTTATATAAATACCCCTTTTACACTCGGCTCCGATAAAGTGGGTCAGGCCCTGATTGGTGCCTGGCCCACTTCAATTTTACTAGTGTAAACGGAATAAAGCGAGCCAATCCGGGCCAGACTCTCTTTATCGGGGCCTAGTGTAAAAGGGGTATAAGATTGCACCATTGGAATTTGTAAGGTTAATATTTGACATCTATTAACAATTGAGTTGGCTTAGAATACTCATATCATGTAGTCTGTGTGAGTCTGTCACATATATGCCTAAGCCCACCTTTGAATTCTACGGTACACAAGTCTTGGCGAAATCCATCCTCAAAATGTTAACGGCATGCCAAATGTTAACGTATTACAACTATATCTAACATATTGACTGTAAAAGTCACCTTTATTTATCACGGAATATGGCAATTTGATTGGATTGTATGCTAGCGAATACAGCCAATGAGAACCCTCGACATTAAGACGACTGTAAACAATATGGCTTGTGACTTAGTGAAGATGGCGAAATCCAGTCAGGGTAGGCTACATTTGAGCTTAACTAGACGGCACAGACACGTGAATTAATTGATGGTTATATGAGTTCCATTATCTTTACACTGGAACTGTGTTTCTTCATCCGCAGTTGGTGTCTGCTTTTATTCGCACACAAGATGTATAATATAATATAATATAATATAATATAATCTTAATCACAGGAACGGAATTTTTAGTAATCAGTTTATCCATGTGTGTCCAGAATTACCCGCGTTTGAATGTTAAAATGACGACTCGTCTTTAAGACTCTTCCATATTTATACGAAAATCATATATTGAAATGGAAAGTGAAAATCTTAGTTTGAGGTATTTTTGAGGGAATTATGCGATTTCGTAAATATCTAGTACTTCTGAAAATTATTTACAAATACTAGTTAATTGTAGTCTGATAATAACAACTATTACTTCCCTTTTTATACTCTTCAATATTCAGATATGGAGGCTATAAAGTCCTTCAAAATGGAGGCGGTGTAAATAATAAATAGTCCATTATTGCAAATTCCAGTTTTCTGTTATGTATAAAGTAAAAGATTTGATTGACAGCCCTGAAGCCAAATATAAAAGACATTCTTTCACAAAATGATTCCGTGGTATATCATCAAACATGTCACACAGAAGCACCGTAAATTTAGCATATGTATTGGTGTTTTATTTTTGTTGACACTGATTTTTTACAGGTAATTTTTACCAGTAACGAACAATGTCAATGACAGCATGGTCGAAGCTAGCCCTAGGTTTCAGAAGAGCCTGAAATTTTCAAGAAGGACTTAACCATTGGCGACTGCAGAACTTTGAATTGGGCTTGATGGGGGTGGGGACTGCCAAAATAATTTATACTTCAATGAGAGAAACCATTCTTGTCTGCTCCTCAATGAAAAATTTAGATTATAAGGGGCTTTAATGATGATTTTCATGCAATTTTAAATACGGTTCTTTCCAGTGGCGGAGTCCAACCTTAATCCTTATCGTTATCGTAGTCAATTGGTTTGAAAGATCATGACCTCGACCGCGACCTTCTATTACAGCCATCAAATCTCTGATGGCCTTTACAAAATTTTTTAAAAGAATCGATCTAATTCTAAAGTATGCAATAACCAAACAGAAGTAGGTGTTAACATCTGCAAATTTGATCGATTTCATCGCACAGTAAATTCACAATTTGACCATAAATCTTGTCTACACAGTGAAGACAAACTAAATTTTGGTCTGTTAACAACATGACATTATTGATAAATTTTATATCCACATCTAGCTAGGAATTAATTTGATAAAGTTTTACACAGCATTGACAATTCAATTAATTCCTTTTCATTCTTTCAGCTATATCAAGATATTGTTTGCTGTTTGGTCTTTCATTATCGGAATGATAGGTGCATACTGCATACTCAGGTATATATCAACGATTATTGACTAATCTTCAAAGCTAGTTCTGTGTTCTGTACATATTTGTTTTTGTGTCAGCGTATTTTAGACCTGTCATAAAGGTTTTACCATTTGCCTGTTATGACCATTAGCTTTGATAAGTTGATAAGTGCAGAGAGCAATGTGTTTCATCTAGAGAAGTCACATAGCTTATTTGGTCTATGTCATAGTAATAATACAATCTATTGTCTATTCCAGTCCTGATTCACTGGTTCCTAATTTATTATTGATGTATACAAGAGAAAAGAAGGTATTAAAAGATTGTTTTCTCTATTAGTGCAGGACAGTTATTTTCATGTTACTCATGCCAAGAACTGTGTCTAACAAGACATGCTTTGATTGGTTAAAAATAACATCATTACAAAGAGATTGTGGTAGAAAACAAATTCTAATATAATATTGATTTGAAGCTTTCCATCATTAATGCTCTTAAGCACACGACTTTAAACTACATTCCGAATTCGCCTCAGAGTGTAGACATGAGAATAAGTTCTCACATCAGAAGAAATGAGGCTGAAATTAGTCAGTTGTCTGTAGATTGCATAGCTTGAAACCCTGTTTTTTTTTTTTAAGTTGCTCTATGAATTTATATAATAATGTTATATAGGTATTACTTAGCTTTCTATTTATTTGCCAATTATTGTTTTACAGGCAAATTATTTAGATGATGAATTAGCTATGATGAAGATAGTTTGTACTGTTTGTGGTGAAAGAAATTGTCCTAGACATAGGTACTTTAATTATCATGTTATAAATTGTATCAGATTCAACTTAACGATTTGACTGTTTATTTCCAAATATCAATAAACTCATATTGTACTTAAGTGGTGAATGCTGCTCATGATATGCAGTATTTCTTTTTCAACAAATATTTCATATACCTTATAATATATATATTTACTTTCAGACCTGAACTCAATATATTGGCCTTTCAACCCTGGACTAATTTAGTAATAAATAAAAAGGTTGATGAAGCTTTGGAGGAGGTAAATACATATAATAATAATAATATTAATAATAATAAACTCTTTATTTCACATGGGTCAGAATTAGGCCCAAATACACAATCTAGTTATTTAAAATCATAATGTTGCTTTTAAATAATGACTTTTAATTTACCACTTTTGAAATAATAGCATTTCAACCATGCACTTTGTTGAGGAAAAATTTTATTAGAAATGTCCAATGTTATAAAAGAACAAGAACTTTGATCTACAATATTATTATTTGATTGCCATTGTAAGTGTTAGCAACTGATTAAGTATAGGCTTACTATTTTTTATTTCAGTTTTTAAATATTGTTTTGAAAGAATTTGTGTATACATGGTACAAGTAAGTATAAATTGATTAGTAGATATTAAAACCAATAATTGTAAATATTATTAGATTGATAACGATGTTTATCAAACAAACTAAAAAATGTTGTTTATTGGGCATAATTAGAAATATTTGATACATGTAACGCCTATGAATATTGTCAACATATGAATTATTTTGAAATTGTTTTTTTCAGAGATTTAAGCTCTGATGAAGAATTTGTTGATGAATTAAAATCGAGTATCAGATTTTTAGCTGCAGTTTTATTCCGTAGAATTAAAAAGGTATGTAGAATATTTGATAGGCCTTGATTAACAAGATTCTGATGATTTTGATATGATGATATAACTATAAAGGGATACAACTTAAAAATTTGGATAAAATTGGATCAATACTTGTTTTTTTTGTTTGTTTTACAGTTGGACATTCCTAAATTAGTAACAGAGAAAATAATCAAAGCTGCATTACAACATTTAGATTGCTGTATACAAGCTCAAAAAAGAGGTAGGGAAAGTTGTTTGAATTTTGTTTCCAGCAAATTGATTCCTTAAATTGGATTCATAATTATTTTCATTTACGGTTGACTCAAATTTAACTATTCACTTTACTATTTGATATAGAAATGTAAGCATTTCTCTATCAATGGCTGGCTATGTTATTTATTCTGGAAAGTTTCACAGGTATGTAATGTAAGGTCATGCTGTGATACTGGCAAAATTTTCAATACACAATGACATTAGCCTTTCAGGTAACAAAAAGGACTTATTTCATATCATTTCAGCATCAGATAACAAAGACATACAACAAGCTACTATTAACTATCTAGGTTCTAATGTTCATTGTTCTATGTGGAATAGGAAGGCAGAACTAGAATATCTACGTTGTATGGTAGAATGTTTATTTCCTTATGTTTTAAAACCAGAAGCTTTACATTCCAAGTAAGTTATTTCAAGCTTACAAGTAGTATATAAAGAAAAAAATAATTGTGAGTGCAGCTCTTGGAGTTATCTTTCAGTTTGATTTTTTAAATAGTATTTCCTAAAAAGGTCTACAGTTTGTGAGTTAGTTGATTTTATGATTTTTGGCAGCAGTGATTCTTATTTTAGCAAACCAGAAACTAAAACAATTGTAAATCTTAAGATAACTTATAATGTTAATGTTGTGTGATGCCATGTGGTAATGGTAAATAGTTATGTGTCTTGGATAGGGGTTGATGACATTATAAGAGTTAAATTTAACTATAAGGATTATTTTTATCATTATTATAGGAGTACGTGTACATTAGTTAGAGAGATATTAGCTAATTTAGTTTTATTACCTGCTATGGATGCTATTGCTAACCCTGTAAGTACGACATTGTTTTATTGAAATAAAAATAATATAGAAGTAGGAAAGTAAACATTAAGAACACAAGTTATATGGATATATTACTTCTAGTTTTATTATATACTACGTTTCGAAACATATACAGGTACCATTATCAAGTAAAATGATTCAAAACCAAACAACACAAGATGTATAGGTAAATCAATGGAAGCCATAAAAGGGATATAACAATAACAATAATGATTAGGGATGAGCATACAATAACAAAAGAAACCTAGAAGTAGTATATCCATACATCTTATGATCTTAAAATTTGGTAGTAGTCATACAACTTCAATTGTCCTATAAGGCAGATATCTGGGAAAGATAATCAGTTCCAACCTCCCAAACCTCAATATATTATTAAAACTGTTCATTTTATTTTAGGATATGGTGAATAATCTGATTTTAATATTTTTAGATGAGACACCAGTAAGTATTATTTTATTCAGTTTTGTGAATCAATATGTTAAATTTCAATAAAATATTTTACAATAATTTTTTAACTATTATGATAAAAACATTTGAATAATCATCATATCAGTAATCATATGTATGTTTAATAGAATTAATAAATCTTGTTTTACGACTTTAGTTTTACCTACATAATGATTTTGAATCAGTAAAAATCATTAAAGATTATTGATATATGGAAATAATTTCAGCCTCCTGAAGCAACAGAACCACCATCAGAATTAGTTCCATTTCTTGACAAATTTTCCATAAAACAACCCAAAAAACCAAATGTAAGTATCATCAAGATTGGTGCAAAATTTAATTGAAGTTGCATCTTTATCTTGTTTCATTTTTGCTCTGTAAAAGAATAAAGTGGACTAGTTTCAGAACAACAAGAGCTATGAGTTAATCCTTTTTCCAAAAGTTACTGGCTTTATTTGAAATCATGTAGTTTTTTTTATCATTGATGCTGATGTTTGTTTTATTCTACAGTGTTTACGTTTAGAGATGAAACATATAATGGATAAAGAACAACCAGTATTATTATATGCTTTCATGCAATTTTTAAAAAAAGAAGCAGCCGTCAATGTGTTACAGTTTTGTTTAGCTTGTGGTAAGGTCTTTATAGCTTCAGTTACAATATTGAATGTAGAGAATAAGATAAACTTTTTAAAATTTGTATTTGTATCATGGACAACAATAGCATCAATTTGCACCATTCCAATTTTTAATCAAACGTCTGTCGTTCTACTAAAACTTAGTGTTTTATTTCGTAAAACCGTGAAGGTCTTATGTGATACAAGCCAAGGGATTACGTCATAAAACCCTTAGTTTTATTGGAATTGCAGGAACTACAGACTGATTGAAAATTAGAATGGTGCAAATTGATGCTATCAGAGTAAAAAATAGGGTAGATCTGTGTCTCATGAGAATCTGTCAAATTTTTAAAAAATCTTGGACCTTTTTTCTGTTGCAGATGATTTTAACAGAAGATTATTAAGTCCTGATCTGTCTCAAAGTGAATTCCATGAATTGCATGCCATGGCCAAAGATTTATATAAAAACTTTTGTGATCCTACAGCTGTTGATAGAATAAAATTTGATGAAAAAATAATAGCTGAGCTTAAAAATGGTATGTAATGGAGCCCCTAAGGCGCAACTTTCCATACTTTTATAAAATATTTCGTTTTAACGAGATAATTAATTTGTTTAAACAAAGTCTTTGAATGGCATTTAGCAATTATGAGTGCGATATATAGACACAGCTTTATGGAACAACAATCACTGGTTAAAGTTTTATGCAACGTTTCGACGTGTTTCCCCCGTCGTCCTCAGGCACATAATGAGAAGAAGTGATGGGCAAACTATATATACATTAATGCTTATTATTAAGAACACACAAGAGATAAATGGTTTATTGATACATTACATTAAATTTTAACAGGTACAATAAGAGGTATATAATTCTTAAAATAACATACAGGCTGATTAAGTAAAATAATTGAAGTAAAGTAAATGAATTAAAAAAGATTAATTGAAGATTAAATAAACAACTATTGCTTGTATTGGAGTCTTTTATTAATAGAAATTACATTGTTCATATAACTAACTATGCTTAAAGTTGGAAATTGTTTTTGAATATGAATAATTACAAGTTGATAAGTTTATCATATGCATGCGATAAACGAACACCTTCATCTCTGTTAAGGTCAGGCTGATATCTACTGATGTGGATAGCTTCATGAAGTCTCCTGGTTTTACCTATGTGCTTATTGATTGTCAGTATGTTGGTGTTGACTTTATGTCCTGTTTTCCTTCCCATAGCAAGATGTTCAGCCACAGCTGATGTTCCTTCATTGCCGGGCTTGTCTTGATGGTCTTTTATTTTACTTAATCAGCCTGTATGTTATTTTAAGAATTATACACCTCTTATTGTACCTGTTAAAATTTAATGTAATGTATCAATAAACCATTTATCTCTTGTGTGTTCTTAATAATAAGCATTAATGTATATATAGTTTGCCCATCACTTCTTCTCATTATGTGCCTGAGGACGACGGGGGAAACACGTCGAAACGTTGCATAAAACTTTAACCAGTGATTGTTGTTCCATAAAGCTGTGTCTATATATCGTTTAAACAAGATAATTAATTTGTTTAAATGAAATGATATCATATATTTTGTTTAAACGAAAAAACTTTGGTTTAAACGAATTAATTATTTCATATAATCTAATAACTTGTTCCGATTAAACGAATCACTTATTTCGTCAAAGTGAAATAAAAAATTTTAAACTGAAAATTGTGCCTAAGGGGCTCCGTATTATGTTGATAATTTAAACTAAAAAATAAATAATTAACCATGTTTATATCTATTTTGTAATGTTGCTTGACATTTTTAAGTTCTGTTAGAATTTGGTATATGCTACCAAATTAATTAGATGTATGAAATTATTTTTAATTATTATATTGTAGTTATTGATAGTCCCCCAGAACAGATTATTAGATTACAAAAATCTTTTACATTATTTCAGTAAGTATGTTATATATTGTCATAGTCTAAAATAAAATGAGTTTTACATCATACTTTTACATACATACAGTGAAGTATGCAATAAAGGAAATTTTGTCAGAAAAACAGCGTTAGATTTCCAACTGTTGAGGGAACTATAACATACTTTAACATGCTTGGTTTGTAGCAGACAGGGCTTCAGCTTATTGGCCAAGACGAAACGAAAAAGTATATTCTATTCCATGTGTATTTTTGTTGACATGCATTATTTGTGAGGTTTTTTTTTACAGAGCATATGAACATGCATATGATTTGTTAGAAAATACATTTTTACCATTATTTCATCAGAGTGACGATGTAAGTAAATCTTTCACTAATATTTAACAACTCGGCACTGAAAATTTTATTTAAAGAGGATGGAAGTGCTGAGTCAGTAATTTCTGAAGTTTCTAGAGTATTCAAACATCAATCTCTTAATGTTTTCCAATTAATAAATTTTTTCTCGTGAAATATCAAATTTTTGCAACAATTGGATTTATATTTGTATCAATACAGTAATTATCTTGTGATATATATGTATTTCCATATCATATTATGCTATTTATATACCAATATCATATAGTCTTACAGTTATTTATACATTTCAGTAATATTTAATGCTATTTACATGTATATATTTCAGTAATATTTAATGCTATTTACATGTATACATTTCAGTAATATTTAATGCTATTTACATGTATATATTTCAGTAATATTTAATGCTATTTACATGTATATATTTCAGTAATATTTAATGCTATTTACATGTATATATTTCAGTAATATTTAATGCTATTTACATGTATATATTTCAGTAATATTTAATGCTATTTACATGTATATATTTCAGTAATATTTAATGCTATTTACATGTATATATTTCAGTAATATTTAATGCTATTTACATGTATACATTTCAGTAATATTTAATGCTATTTACATGTATATATTTCAGTAATATTTAATGCTATTTACATGTATATATTTCAGTAATATTTAATGCTATTTACATGTATATATTTCAGTAATATTTAATGCTATTTACATGTATATATTTCAGTAATATTTAATGCTATTTACATGTATATATTTCAGTAATATTTAATGCTATTTACATGTATATATTTCAGTAATATTTAATGCTATTTACATGTATATATTTCAGTAATATTTAAT